GCTCAGTTGTAGGAGAAAAATAGAAAGAACTAAAGATATATATATTGTGGGAGGAAAAAGACAAGTAAACTACAAGTTCATCCCTACAAGCCTGTTTCGTGGTCGCCCACTCAACTGGGGATTTTATTAAATCCCCTGATGAGACCCACATAGGTCGAAACAGTGTGCACTGTCTGCAGTTATATATATATATATATATATATATATATATATATTGTAGTACACGAGGACGGACAACTTCGAGCTAAGAAAGATATATACTCAAATAAAAAGTCTAAGAAAGTTTAACAAAATACGTTTCGGTCCGAGACCTTCATCACTGTTGGCTCGGGGCCTTTTAACTATTTATATATATATATATATATTGTAGTACACGAGGACGGACAACTTCGAGCTAAGAAAGATATATACTCAAATAAAAAGTCTAAGAAAGTTTAATAAAATACGTTTCGGTCCGAGACCTTCATCACTGTTGGCTCGGGGCCTTTTAACTAGTTATATATATATATAAATATATATATATATATATATATAGTAAAAAAACAAAACAAAAACAAAACAAAAACCAAATGAATCTTTTCGAGTGCTTTGACTTTAAGTTTCGTTCAGCGTTTCTTCCTTTGACAAACTCTTGCGAAAAATCGACCCAAGACATTAGAGACAGACGGCAGAGACATTTAATATTCCACGTTTTAAGAGAAGCTAATTCATGTTCGGCATCATATTTTGTGGGCTGGCTTCCACAAATACTTAACGTTGGCAGATAAGACGAATATTGACACTTCAGGCTTTAACAGTAATCCTGTAACTGAACGAAGGAGCAGTTATTCGGATAAAAAAAATTCCAACCTTCTACAGTAAAAGAGCTATATGCTGCTTTATTTGCAAGACATGTACAGGGAAAAAACAAAAATGATAGCTAAAACAAATATCCTGGCCTATAGGTGCTTCTCGCGATCGATTTACTAAACGATAAGCCCAAAAACAGGTTTCAATATTTCCATTGTCGAAAAAGTATGTTTATAAGCTTTAGAAGTACCAAGCTTGGTAATCTTATGTGCACAACGCCGTAACATACCATGTTCAAGAACTAACACATTTCTTAACCTTAAAATCACGCAGCTTAACAAAAACCGGCCAAATCCTGTTTTTTCCCTTAATCTCTCATAGAAATTTCATTCAACGCCCGTTGAGAAACGCTAAAACCCCAACCATTCCATTGTTCTTGGAATTTTTGTCTTTGCACTAAAAGCACAGAATTATAATTTAACGCTTACGTTAATTACAGTTGTGAGCACGTCGAAACTGTGACGAAATTATGTCACAGAAACTGCAAACTGATATCTATGTTTCCCAGAGGTGGTTTAAAAGAATTCGAAAAGTCGAACTAAGAACACAACAGGGAGAAAGTAAAAATGCATATCGCTCAATAAAATAAGCTGTTGATTTTTCCTAAAGCCAATTTCATTTCAAGTGTTTTCGTTAAGTCTTATCACAAGAAAGACAATTCAAGCCAGCCCAAAAAATATTATATAAATGGAATATTTTATACTGAAAAGCTACAATTACTATCTTTGCACAGAGATAATTTCAAATATGACCAAAACTAAGCAGTCTAGGCAAACAACTCCATCTTATCGGTGAAACAATTACCACCATTTTGTGTAGGTTGTAATTTTACTGTTTTATTTTTTCATCTTTATGGTACTGTAGAAATTTGTGATTACTCACGATCTCCTGTTCCCACCACAAATCAATGAGATGTGAAAATGTTAAGCTGATCTGCAAAAATCATTCATTTATCTACTTGCATTGTAAACAAAGAATTTTGTCAAAGCCTCGAAAACATTCAAGTGCACTTTGAAATACAAAGAGTTTCCTAAATAATTTGTTTTTTCTCCTTATGATAACAAAGATATTTTGAATTCTTCGTTTTCAACCTCAATGACTAGTAATGGGGAAAGAGTTTCCGGCTTTAATGGAAATGTATATTTTACGTTTCCTTTTTCATAATTTACCTTAATCCCCTCTCTTTATTTGTGTTCCCAATTAGAGAGAAATGTTAAATGCGTAGAAACTTTTTAACTTAAATAATTCGGCGAAATTTGCCGATCTTCGCACGTTTCCCCTCGAGTAAGACATAAACCTTATATTGATCATAACTTTAGCACAACCTGGTAAAGTTATCGATTTTTTTAGTATTGTTCCACTGGCTTGATACCGGCAGCAATAGAAATGTTGACGAAAAGGATTAGTTTTCCGATCGATTCGATTTCTCAGTTTGAGTTCGGTCGAGAATGGATTAGGGTAATGTTTACTTTTTCGCAAGAGTGATTCAGGCTTGAAACGCCAGTTTGTTCGCCATAGAGTCAAACTGTCGATGCCTTCTTTGGGTGTCAGAGGTACAGTTTGTGGTATTATATGTACAACAACTGTTCTCTGCTGTTCTATGGGACGTCACGGACGGTTTCGAAGGGTTCTTATCTAGATCCACTCACGTCTACGAAGCAAAACACTGAAACAGCGTAAACAATCGAGTTGTAAAACACCTCGTTGTTATAGTTAGTTCTCCTTCGAAACAATCCATGACATCACAGAGAACAGCTGATAATAGCTGCTGTAACTCTACCCTTACCTTTGCACAGACGGTTCCTTCTCCATCGGAAAGAAAAATAGAAATAGTACTGATAATGATAATGATAACAATAAGAATGATAAAAAAAAATTACACTTATGTTTCTGAAGAGCGCGATTAAACAGACGGTTCCAAAATCGCGAAAGATTCTGCAGAGTTTGGGTCAGGACAGGCCTTGGATGACTGCAAGCGCTTGTAAACACGCGTAGCGATGATGCTTTAAAAACGGGGTACAAATGTGGCGGGTGATCTCACCAATTGAGTGCCCAGGCATAACAGCTCGTCAACACATTTCAAAATATAACCCCCTCCACGCATTGTAGTCATGGCCCCTATCGAGAATTTTCCCTTGGAGATTAGTAAGGTCGGGGTAAAAAAAAAAATTATAGTTTATTATGTATGCTTCAATAAACAAAGCTCTTTTTGTCGCTGAAAGTGAATGAACATGGGCAGGATCATATCATTGCCATCGGCCAATCCATCTAAAATAAGGGAACCCTTCAAAATGTTACCCTGTGAAAAAAAATCTTACAGAAATAGTAGTTGCCGAGGCTAGGAATGCGTTTGAATAACTTGAATTACTTGCAGAATAAAACATCACGTCTCGAGTATCACATTCGACGCACGTATAGAAACTGACTGATGAGGCTCGAAGAGTGAAATATATTTCAAGATTCTTAAAACATTGTTATTTTATTTTTACAGTTTCTATACGTGCATCGAATGTGATACTCGAGACGTGATGTCTTATTCTGCAAGTAGTTCAAGTGAAAAAAAATTTTCCTTAGTTATTCCGAAATATCGGTGGTATGAGAATATTCCTTCATAAAACATCCATTTGGTGCGTTTCAGGTTATTCTTTTGTGTTGTGTACAACATTTTAGGCACCAGGAGAAAGCATTGTTTTTTTGTTTATTGGCTCTATTTTTTTCCGCTTTCGTAGAAGGAAAAAAAAAAAAAAGAAAAGTTACCTCGAAACAATTTCAAGAGCTGCAATCATATTATTTTTCAAACAAACTATTTCTATTCAGAGACTAATCGACGTTGATACATCAGAAATCAAACCATGCATTTTCAGCAGAGCAGCTTATTAGAAATCTTTCCATACTTCGGTCAGTTTTCTGCGTTGTCGGCGAATGGTAAATACTAGGCCTGTCAGGTTTTCATTTTTCCCTAATTTATTGGGAAAGATTTGGGTCTCTTTTTGTCTCCTATTTAAGTCCACAATAATTTTTGTGATATTTTCGTCTTACTCCTTTTTCCAGGCTGCCAATGTCTGATCCGAGGGCCAACCAAATGGACAAGCATTCGTATATTTTGATTTCTGTGTCTAGTCCGGTGACATGTGAACATTTCCGATGTTTTTTTTCCGAATAAAAATGTTTGCCTCAACTGGGCTTTCTACTTAGTAAAGCTGCCGATTTAAGCAAACCATAAACAAATGTACCTTTGGAAAAGACTGCCTTTTGTATGTGCCAAGTCTCCACTCGTAAATAGAATTTTCAAAAAAAATTCGACTTTAAGTGAGTCAAATTAACAAAAACGATAATTACCATTTCAGTTTTGGCTTTGTGCACCCTATCGAAGATCCTTTGTTGCACTAAATCGAAACGTGACGAATATAAGAGTAACATATCAAAGACGAAAATATCACTGCGCCATTGAAGGATTTATGTAAAGAAATTTAATGTACTGTGCGCATGGTTTTCCTCCAAGCGAAAATCTTACCATGGGCTAATAGAAAAAATTATGAAATAGACATAGGGTAGCGTTTCGTCCTTCCAATTGCTGGCATCAAGCTAGATTACGAAGGCCTCTCTGATAGAGAACAAATAGCCGAGTTACCTTTTAATATGATCAATAAAGGCTATTGACCGCTACGTTCTAGACTAAATCTTTGGAATTTCCCGGCGGTCGTTGATTAACACCGATATTTCTTTGTTTAGTTAACTCATATAAGCAAGGGTTTCTTGAAATGAACGGTAAAACACGACGTTTCGACCGTGCTTCGGTCATTGTCAAGTGAATGGAATGAAATACAGTAAATATATGTATATATACACGTACGAAATATAAAAAAATTTTTTGCAGGTGTAAACAGACAATAAAACTACAAAGAAAGTGCTAGTAAAAAGCTAATTAAAAACCTTAGCACGAATTGAATCAGACTGTACATTGAGAACAGGTCTTAGCTTGTGAATAAAAAACATCTCATAGACGAGACAGTCAAATTTCTGTTATTTAACTCAGCCCTCCTAAAAGTTTGTTTAGAAAAAGACTGGTGAACTACCTTAAAGTAAGCGCGTACCGGTTGGGTTTTCTGATTTTAAAGATGTAATTACGTCAATTTCCTCTTTTAATTTAGGTCAAAGCAGAAATGGCAACGTTTTATACATCACAACAAAAGTCATTCCACGTCAACAAGGAAGAGGGCTATGTGTGGTGCATGCTGTTCTTGGTAGAGGCAGCTTTTGTCATCGCCCTCAACATGTTCGCTATCATTATCTTCAGTACAGATCGCCGAGTCCGCAAGCATAGTACATATCTACTCATAAACCTATCAGCGGCTGATACAGGTGTGGGTGCTCTCGTGATACCAGCTTCTGTTCTCCTTCGCGGAAATACGTATCAACTTTGGGATGTACAGATAACTCCTGCTAGATTAATTTCCGCATATGGAGTAAACTTACTGTTCTGCGGTTGCTCGCTCGGATTTTTGGCCTCGATATCTGTAGAGAGGCTGCATGCTACAAGGAATCCAATCGGACACAAGATCATGTCTGGATTACTTTATAAAATTTGGGGCGCAAGCATTTGGCTCGCGTCGCTAATTTTCACAATATTTACAATTTTATTCATGTATTATGACGTGTTAGGGCTCAAAATTTGGTTCTTCGCGGCTTCATTTGTCTTCTGTTTGCTTTTGATTCTCTGTTGTAGCTACTGCGGAATCTTTGTAACAATCCGATGCAGTAAGAAACCTCGGCATGATCACCGCGGACAGGCTAGAAAAGAAAGAAAACTTACGATGACACTCTTCATTGTTACATTACTATCTCTCTGCGTATGGACTCCATATGTATTTTTTACTTTCCTGGAGGAACAAATGACTCGCATATTATCTGACGAAGCTCTTCTGCGCATAAGATGCATTTGTGAGTTGCTATTCTTTGCCAACTCGTTTGTAAATCCAATCTTGTACACCATCAGAATGCCTGAGTTTAGGAAAGCGGGTATTAAACTGATAACCTGCACAAAGGACTCTCCTGACAGACAACACTCAGAATCGACTTTTGAAAGACCGTAATAAACTATAAAATAGCTTTATACAGGCGTATTATGCAACAATAAATGAACTCTTAAAAATTGATTGGCATTTCGTTCTGTGAGATTGCAAATTTTATCTTCTAGATGCTACGGAGGGTTGTCCAGCTTTCTATTTCCTCATCAAGGTAAAAGGTTCACCTACCTACAGGCCCACGTCCCCTCTTGAAACAAATCGCTTTCCTATCGCTAGAATCGAGTCAGTTGTTTTGATCTAACCGCAAGACTATGGAAAATTTTGAGATAAGTTTATTCAAACGATGATTCATTTTCACCTGTAATTAGCTGTGCGGTCAACGGCACGCAGATCTGCAAGCACCTCTTACAAACCAAGTATGCGGTCCGTAAAAACCATTAAAAACCATACGGACCAAGTTTCTTGAACAGGCACGAGCGTCACGGGCATTATATTTTAGGAGGAAAAAGCGAATTCGTAGCCTACAGTACTTGAAGACCGAGAAGAACAGGGTTATAAGATATCATATCTAAATGAGTCTGGCAAGTTTCGTCAAACGGAAACGGAAAGGGTTTTTATTGACAGACCCAAACGTGGAGAGCTAAGCGAGTCATATAATTTCCGCAAAATATTCAATAAACGAAATGGAAATAACTCAAACAATAGCCTGGCAACACAAGAAAGATTTATACCTTCACAGGTAATTCCTACTTGCTTAATTGACCAATCGAAGCGCTTATGGTAAGCAGAGGTTATGACGAAGGAAATATTCTAAAGGTAAGAACTATATGGTAAAGTTAAAATTTTAACGATGCAATGCCTCAGAGTTCCATCATGTCATCGAACGGTTACTCTTGTATCGAGTTAATGATTCCAGTGGCATTCAAATCCAACTGCCCCCTACGGATGTTCTAAGAAAAATCAACTGTGTCCTTGTTATTCAGTTAAAGAATATTTTAATGACCTAGAAACAAGTAAATAAATAATGGCTTATGATAATTTTCAAATGTATATGGAATTTTGGACGCCTCCCGTCAAGAGGAACTAATGTTTTCAGGGTTTCTCAGGGTTTCCACTCATTCGCTATTTTGCATTTTTCCTGTTCGCTATTTCTCGGCACGAATCATAATCAATGCCAGAAGTTTCTATCGTTAATGAAATTACAATTTTGCCTTTGCATAGATTGGCCACAACGTATTTTTTACCACTACTGCCTTGTCGCATCGCATGCTTATTAAAATGGCGCTGATCGAGGTTGGTTTGAGCGTAATCGAACGTAAATGTTATCTTTGAAGGAAACTATAGACCGCTTTGAGCAAGGGTTGTTTGAAACTAGCCGAATAAAGTTTAATTGCTCATAAGATAGCTAAAGATTAATGAAAATACGTTGCACCATAGTTGTAATGTCGTGTCGACTGAGTTGGAACATGAAACCACTCATTGATTTATGGAAATTATTTTTTTGTGTATATCAATATTTTCACTCAAAATGAAGCTCGACGATTTACTACATCGGATCATTGAGCTCCCTCTTTGGAAAACAGAAAGGAAATAGAGTTTCAAGAATTAGTTTCTAACATAACGGATTCTCCAAAACAGCCGTTACGTAAGACTTATGGAACCGACTTGCAATTTTTAGAACGTAACAGAACGACCATGACATTGACTACCTCGTATCATCTCGCTTTTATCGTGCGGACTTGCTAACTTAATTTACAGATATTGGATTAGTTACTCGTAAGTAGAATGAGCTTTCCTTGTTCCCTTTCAAATTGTAATTTTCAGTCTTGCTTGGCCAGGGCTTTTATTTATCCGCAAGAAATCCAACCACTACCTCCCATGGAGCGTACTATCAAGCTTTAACTGTCATCATACAACCACCCCAAGCAAAGAAATTAAAGGGTATCAGAGTGAATGGGTTGTAAAAGGGGTTCTCGTTACACCTTATCCATATACGTCATCTCTACCATGGCTCTCTGCAGACATTAAGAGTGAAAAATTCTGTTCCTTCACAAGTCACCGTCAAAGCCATAGAGCGCATGCGTGATTGAAAGGATTAAGGTTGCCAGAATTAGGACACCCTGCGTGAAATTAATCACCTTTTTCACAAGCTTTTCAACTTCTTTTCGCGTGTCTTTCACATGCATATGAAAGTTGCATGTTCAATAAGTATAAGTTATCGTATGGGCCTCAAGTCCATAAGGGATTAATTTCGCACGTGTTTTTTAGAAGTAGTGACAAATTACGATTGAGGACAATTTTAAGAACTTTGAAAACAGCTGCTATCACTTCTTTATCACACAGAAGGCAAACGTTTTGAAGGAATATTCATTTAAGCGTAGATCATGCGTGATATTCTTCTAGGAAGTCCGCGATGATTGACAATCAACTGAACCAAGTAATGGAGTCAATGAAAACTTTTTCGCAAAATACAGCTAGCAAATCCACAAAACTCTGATTTATAAGTTTCCCTTTAGTAATAATTTCGCCGAAAAAAAGGTATTTCCTTTCACTCGGACTGAGTTAGACTGGATGAAAGAATGGCTACCTGCTAGCGTCACATCTAATTAGCTTGAATTCTGCACTTGAATGGGTACGTGTTGTTTTCCACTATAAAGAGGAGATAGAGATTGGAGCACTACTCACGCATTTTTAGGCATCATTCATTGATACTGGACACCATTCTATGCCCACTGGTGCATTTCCCTTTCGCTCATAGCTGTGCTTTTGATGAAAAATTTCCGAATAATGAAGCTCTTACAAACAACCGAGTTTGGTTGGCAAACATCTAAGTTCCGTTCAGATTCGTTCTTTCCAGCTGGTAAAAAAAACATGGTTCCATACTTGTAGGCCTGTAATGCTAAAAAGTTTGCTAGATACATCCATTACCTTTCATTTTTTTAATCTTGTCGATGCCTTCCTCTGGGGGGAAGAGAAACAGTCTGTAAGGATGTATCATAGCCATTTTCTCTGTGATTTCATGGACAGTTTAAGACTTATCCAGGCTATATCAGCGCGGTTAACGACTTTTTGCAGGAGTCACCCTCGCCATTCAACACGATTTAAAATGACCTCAACCTACGAAATCTCGGCCTCGATCGAGCATTTTTCCCCAAAATACTAAAAAGATCAGGGATCACTGTAAGAAAAAAAAAACCGCTCATTAAATGATGATTATCATTTTTATTTTGTGTGGGGAAAGAATGGTCTGCGCAAAAGTAACGGTGTTGCAGCAGCTCTTCTAGCTGGGATATCACGGACGGTTTCCAAGGGGTATTATCTAAATCCACTCACGTCTTCAGAATAAAACACCGAAACACAGCAAACAGTGAGTTTACAGGTTAGCGATCAAATTGCAGGAATGACCCCCCCCCCGCCACTCAACTCTATTTAAAATAAACACAATCCCGAAGTCTTGACCTCGATCGAGCTTTTTTCCCAAGCGGTTAAAAGGATCTGGGATCATACTTAAAAAGACCTAGTATTGTTTAGCAGGGCTGTGGCCAGACTTCAGAACAAGACGAGGCAAGTTTCGAGCGCCGAAGGCGCGAGTCGCTAGGGGGGGCTGGGTGCATGCCCCTACCCCCCCAGAAAATTTTGAACTCTAGAGTCTCAGAAATACTCTTTCAAGCATTTATCGTGGCATTTTTCTTCAGAAAAGTCAATTTTCGAAAAAGAAAAAAAAAGGCCAAAATCAAAACGAGGCAATTGCCTCTTCTTGCCTCATGCTAGCTACGGCCTTGTTTAGACAAAATTTTATCCACGCACGCTTCAATAGAGAAATTTATTTCCTTTTTCAGCCCAAGGCGTGGGTATGATCCTACCGAAAAATCTACTAAAAATACACATTTACTCAGTCATCAGTCAATCCTGCCAAAAGTGAGGTAGATCTGAATAGAACACTTTATTTTGGATATTTCGGAATAGTGTGAGAATATTCCATCAAGAGGCATCTACCTGATGTTTTGCTAGAGTGTTCTTGCGCATTGTTTTCAAACACTTAAGCCATTGGAGTCAAGTTGACTCATTTTTTTTTTCATGTTTCTTGCGCAAAAATCACTGTTTCGTAAATCTGATTGTTTTTTATTTTTTTTATTTGGTCCTTTTTTTCCGCTTTCTGGGAAGAAAGAAAAAAATCAAGACAGTTCACAAGTAGAGTCGAACCTCGATTATCCGAACTCGTCGGGACCTCGGTAAATAGTCCGGATAGTCGAGGGTCCGGATAATCGAGAGTCCGGATAATCGAGAGTCCGGATAATCGAGAGTCCGGATAATCGAGAGTCCGGATAATCGAGAGTCCGGATAATCGAGAGTCCAGATAATCGAGAGTCCGGAAAATCAAAAATATGAATATTAATGAGATAGAAATGTAAACAAAAGGTTTACAGCATAGAAAACATCATTTTAATTGTGAAATCTACACAGCCGGTATGTATTTACAAATAAAAACTTTCAGTTCAAGCATTTACAAAGGTCTAAAATGTTCAAGTATGTTCGTTCGCTTTAAAGACTTGTAGCTTGATCGCATTGCCATCATTTGTCTTCGCTGCATTAACTGCACAGGTTCAATATCGTTCTGTGATTCCATTTACGACAAGCAGTTTTTGAAATATTGCGCTGCCTTTTTAGTTGATACTAGTTTCTTTGTCTCGTCGCACTTGCGGGCTTCGAAAAGCGCACAGGATAATAAGCTGTTTCAACAGTGTTTTGAGAGGATTAATGGGCCTTTTACGACTTTGAGTTTTCAAGATCACAGCTAATTAATATTCATGAAAAAATTAGGACCAGAGAAAAAAGTCTGGATAATCGAATAATGCGGATAATCGAGGTTCGACTGTAAAGATGTTGACCTGCGCTTATAGGCAAGAACAGTAATCTGCCAGACCACCAATTATCTTTGCTTTCCTTGATGAAGTTTTGAAACAAAATTTTTGTTTCCAAAGATTGTGGATATTAGCTACACTAATGCCTAAGGATATCACCCGAAGGCAAAACTCCACCGAAGGAATTATCGCCTGAACTCAACACTTGCCAAGCGCGATTTAAACCATCCGACAAAAAGGCCCCAGAGGACAACAAACAGTAGAGCGATTGTCTTGAAACGAATAAAACCATAACAATAGGCGACGTTTAAATATGAGTAAGGTATAAGAACATTTATTCAAAAAACCTTTCACCTGACGTGTCTTTAGTTTGTTCCTACATACTTTATAAACACTTTAACCACTAGAGTCAAGCTGCTTCATGTTTTACGATCCTTTCTTCAAAGGTTATCTTTTAGCACTTTCCATTGTTTATCCATTTGTTATTGTTTTTCTTTTTTCCGCTATCGCAGAGGGAAAAAAGACAAGCCAGTTGACTAGTAGTTCAGTTAACTTGTAGCAAAATGCAATAACGGTAATCTGTCAGGCCACCATTCACTTCGTGTTAAATTCCCTTAACGAAGTTTTTAGACAGACAAATTGTCCCCAAAGAGCAACCGGACGAAAGGGGAAATATTAACTGGGTGGAACAAAAAGATAATATGACCTTAAAAGGAGACAAAGTGAGGCATTAATCCTTCCTATTAAATCAGAAAAATATTAACACCCATAGGCTTATTGTTCAGCACTCAACTGAAAGTAGAAAAACATCTAATCCGGGAAAAAATTAAATGGAGCTGCTTTGTTGGAATCGCTTAGTTTCGTTCCAATAATCACGCTTTCAACATTATCACTGCGCCATTGGAGGATTTGTGTGAACTGCTCATAATTTTCCCGTGGAATGGCATCCTGTATCAAAATATCCGTGGTAAGTCTTCTCACTTTATGAAAAGATGCTGAATAATTTCGTGTTCAGCCAAGGCAAGGTGAAAGAAAGCCTAGCTGATTTTGCCATTAATTGGCTTGCGGCTTCATAGGCTAAACAGGTAACGATTAAAAAGCTGACTGGTTGTATCACTGCTGCCGGCAGTTCATTTAATCTGCTGACCGGCTAACCGGCTGGCTGGCTGGCTGGCTGGCTGACTGACTGGCTGGCTGACTGGCTGGCTGGCTGGCTGGCTAGCTGGCTGGCTGGCTGGCTGGCTGGCTGGCTGGCTAGCTCACTGGCTGGCTGGCTAGCTCACTGGCTGGCTGGGTGGCTGGCTGCATTACAGTGGTTACTTTGGCTACTTTGGTTACTTAACAGTGGTTACTTTGGCTACTTTTGTTACTTAACAGTAGTTACTTTGGCTACTTTGGTTACTTAACAGTGGTTGCTTTGGCTACTTTGGTTACTTAACAGTGGTTACTTTGGCTACTTTGGTTAGCTTATTTTGACTGCAGAGGCCAGGTGATTGATTGGCTGCGAACTGCCTGACATTAAGCGTGGCTATCTAAAGCGTTACTAGTTAGGAACAAGGTTGGCTTGCTAGATAACTAAATATTTGACATGAGTTAGCTCACTCGTTAACTCTTTCCATCAGTTTTACAAAGCTTGTTTTTCATTTTTTATTCGAGGTGGCGTTCTTTGCTGTAGTTGATTTATCAACCGCAGAACCATATGGTAAGTATACTCAGTTCGAGACACAAAATGTAATGGGATTCATTGCGTCCAAGATATCATAGACAGTTTGTAATCTCTCGCTGTGTCTTAGGGCTAATCATTACTCTGTACAGAATTGATCATAAACAATTATTCAAAACCAGAATTTAAGTATAACATTAAATAATGACATGGTCCAAATGAATAATTTTTTGACAATTAAGGGTACACTATAGCAACACTACATATGCGTTATTAACCAAGGGTGAGGTCAAGATGGCTGGATATTAGCAGATATATTTTTTTTTTGTTTGCATCTTCATGAACCGAGACGAAGTCGAGTTCCATAAAATTGCGGAAAAAGAACGAGGCTAACATGTAGCCATCTTGACCGAATAAGCTTGATCAATAAAGGACTTATTATATTGCAGAAAGATCTCGCTTTATTAAGAACTAGGAATGACTTTTTCACTTCGAGAGCCGGGAAAGATTGCCAACTCTTTTTTGTGGCACAACACACTCACTAGAGTTGTTATTTTTTCTTTATTTTGACTATCTTCTGCCACCTTTTGCGTTTCCGTCGCCGAATTTTCCAAGAATTATGAACTTAGTCATAACTCTACTTTCTTTCATGCTCGGCGTCAATGCGGGCAATCCCGAGTGGTCAAGATGGACCCATCTTGCCCGCTCGGGTAGCCAGCCAGAGCACAGGACTCGTTCCATCTTGCCAACGGGCGCTGCGAGCGATGTAATAAAGCCTGAATAATAAAAACATTGTGTGTTTTTCTTTTATCTCTGTAATTTCCTATTTGTGTATTAGATTATATATTTTTTGTTTTATCATTTTCTTTTGATATTCGACTACGCCTATGCGAATTGAATTGAGATTTTTTTTTAGATGTTCATAATGAGCCGATCAACGCTGAGAGTCGCAATGACTACCAAAGGATGAGAGACCAAGGCCGACCTGATCAAAAACTTCATGAATTCGAGAGAGACCACGGCCAATTTTATCAAGAACTCTCACAGTTAGAACATGAGTTGGACTCGCTTAAAGGAGAGCAGAATGGTAAAGTCATATCAAATTAAAGCATACAGGAGTAAATTCACTGTCGCGAAACATCTCCCTGATTCTGTATGAATTCGATAGGACACTTAATTCTATTCATTTCTAACAAAATGATATAAAAACGATCTACAATGAGGTACAAAGCATAAAAGCCTTTTAGTGTAACTACCCACCTGAAGGGTAGTCCATATCTAATTTTGTTTTGTGATGGTGAAGAGGAGCAAGACGAAGAGGAATTAGATCCCGAAAACACAGGAGAAGACTCAGAAATGGACGGAGAAGCGGATGACACAGGAATGGAAGAGGCTGCAAATGATTCAGGAGAGGAATCAGGCGAAAAAGACAGTGAGTGCATTTTGAGTTTTGCTTCAGTTTTGGTTTTGATTTTAACGACCAAACTTTTTAACCAAAATCTCGATAAGACGCACAATAGCATCTATTCATGAGACCTCACCAATATCATTAAATTCCAGATTGAAAAGAGACGATGACAGACTGCCTTTTAATATTATCGATCTTCATATCAATCTTCAACTTATTGAAAAACTTGAAGATGGTCATAAGATTTATCTATAGTTTCTCTCAGTCATGTTTTACCTATTTCAACAGATTGTTTGGAACTGAGGGAAAACTGTGAAAACATTGATGAGGATATAAAAGAAACATCAAGTAAGAAATAATGATAATAACTAATAACGGATGTAGATGATTTAGAAGGGCAACAGAAGGCTAACTCTAAAAATGAAGAGTAACTTAAAACTATACATCAATATTCATCAATCAGACCTCGCCTATCGTAAATCCCAAGTTAAAAAGAGATCAAGACAGATTATTTTTTAATCATATCATCTTCATATCAATCTTCAACCTATTGAAAAGCTTCAAGATGATCACAAGATTTACCCACAAAATCTCTAAATCACGTTTTACCTATTTCAACTGAACTATGTAACAAGAGATGTCGCTGGGAAAGGTACCAACACCTACAAAAGGAAATAGGTAAGAAATAAGGAACAGCAACTGTTCCTAACTTAAAACTTAGAATGGTTCCTCTATTGATCTTTGACCATAGGCGTTTCCATTTCCCCCTATCCATATTCGTTATTACGTCTCCTAACACCCCGTGAATCTCAGATTGGAAGACGACGAAAGATTACCCCTCATTCTCAGAACATAATTATATCAGCCGTCGACCTGTCTACTGCGAGGGCCGTTCAGACGAATATTGACCACAAGGTGCGACTATATGGTCTACATGAAGAAATACGAGGTTAGTGTAAAAACTGTTGGGGATCAATATTTCCTATGTGAGCAAGCAAAGTTAGGTTTGTGACTATATGCCAGTCCATAGTTACCACTACTCCATACTTACCCATTAAAGTTATATATACAAGCGGCCGATTTAAACTTGAACTTGTTGTCCTTAAATTAACGAGATTACTGTGTGATGGATGTCCTACCCTGGGGTGGTTCCTGGGTGCGAATTGGCCCTGAAAATCCCCCGTGGGGAGTGGTCAATTAACGTATGTATGTATGTATGTATGTATGTATGTATGTATGTATGTATGTATGTATGTACGTATGTATTTATGAGTCAGTTCTCTTAGGGTAGTTGAGAGAACTTTTATTTACTCCTGGCGTTGCCGCGTTTTTATCTCTCCTATTATTATGAAGACCGAGTCCCGGTACTTAGCTGCGCCAACAATGAATGCTCCAGAGACTCCGTACTAATCAAAGTCTGAGAATTAAAAGGCCTCTCCCGGTACTCAGCTGTGCCAACAATGAATGCTCCAGAGACTCCGTACTAATTAAAGTCTTAGAATTAAAAGGCCTCTTAATTTTTTGGAATATTGGGTAGGTTTCTTTAGTCAGTCGTGTCTGGGTGGCTGTTACCCATGATGCTTCAGTGTAAAGTTTTTCTCCGTGGGTCCGTGTGTAAATGGTTGTTCTCGCATGTGAGTTGACCATGTTGCTTCAGGCAATAAACTTTGGATGGATTTTTGACGGCTGTTAACTTATTACATAGTATTGGCTGTGTGAGCCGGTACCCAACCTTGTATAGCGGTCATTCTCCTACAGGAGCTAAATGACTTTCTTTTCACGGGTTCTTCGAAAGTAGATCATGCGGCTAAGTAAATCATGTTTTGCCCATTTTAAGAGAACAAAAGAAAGCTGAATTGAAAAACTGCGTGGATTTATACTAAGAAAACGGATGTCCAGGTAAGAAATAAGGGGCATTAGTTCTTGTTCACTCAAAACTAAGAAAGGTTTTTGAAAGCCACCTTTGTAAGCTAATTTTTATCTTCTTGTTCCTCTCGCAATTTTCCAGAAATTAAAAAGAAAGTAAAGCCCTATATCTACCTTTGAAGAAGACATGCATCGGTTCAACCAAGCGAAGGTTTTCTCAGTGTTTGATATTAAGGATTTGTTCCAAACCACTGAGTTAACAGATGAATCTTCTATACTGGTACACCCCTTGGGTCTACACCGTTGGGCTTGACTCTTATTGGGCTTAAGTTCAGCGCATGAATGCCTTCATGATGTTTTCTGTATAATCAACGGCGTTTTGAGCACTGATAATGAAATTATTGTCATTGATCTGGGCGGGTGTCTAGCATATGCCATCCGGGATCATAACCACACTTTCATCTATTAACAGAATCGTCTCTCTCAGCACAACCTCAACCTAAGCCCGGCCAAATTCATTTTTACAACACATACTGCACCTTGTATGGGTCACATACGTACCCACAAAGAACTGAAACCGGGTACAGAAATGGCCAGTGCTGTTCTTGACACTCTCCAACCTCAAGACAATGCCGCCACACTACGCTTCTGGGGATAATCACGTATCTGTCCTAGTTCTGCCCAAATCTCAGTGAAGTAATTCGTCCTCTTCGTGACCTCACACAGATTAAGGACGATTTTCTCTGGTGTGAACAGTAAAGCTTTAACTTGAGCTTAAAAACTAGTCTCCAAAGCACTATGTCTCCGCTACTACGATGTGAATGCTCTTGTTATACTCCAAGTGGATGCTTCAGAATATGGCTCAGTTCCTGCACTGCTCCAGCTTCCTATAGCTACAGACACCCACTGACTCTAAAGCCTGGTTCACATATAATCGCAGACGATCACAGGCGATCGCACTCGATCGCCAGCGATCGTCTGCGATCATATGTGAACAGCTCTGCGATCGTGTGCGATCGCAGGTGATCGTGGGAATAGGACCATGTTCTATTCGTGCGATTGGTTGCGATCGTGTGCGATCGAGTGTGATCATATGTAAACAAACTTCTGCGATAATGCGCTTGGAATGTGTCCCAAAATGCTATGTTTTCCCAGCGTAAAGCACCACAAGCGTCATGATACCGTGACAATCCTGAGTTGTTTATCAACTTGTGCACGGGCGTGTGTTTCGACAAGGTGGAAGGTGAAACTGACACGGAACAGTTTATGGAAGAAATTAGAAAATACGATTGTTAAATCGCTTTAGCAAAGAATTTTCTCTTTCTTTAGACTTTCCGCACCAAGAAGCAACGTTTCTTCTTTAACCTATCAACAGTTTTCCGTCTAAGTAAAGACAACAGAAGCAGAATGCTAGCACCTATTAAATATTCAGTGTCCTCTGTGTCCGTGTTGGTTGACTAGAGTTATATTGTATTGTCGCTGAATGGTAAATCGTGGACTCGGAGGTCACAGATCGCTGTGATTGGCTGCGATCATATGTAAAGATGCGATTCGCGATCTTCGGTTGAGTGGTTTCAATGATTGTGCGATCGCCTGCGATCACCTGCGATCGTCTGCGATCTTCTGCGATTATATGTGAGCCAGGCTTAACACCATTCCAAGGCAACTAGTGACCTACAGTTCCAGTACTCTTTCTCCAACTAAACAGTGCTAAAATTGAGAAAGAAACCCTTGCCATCGTTCATGCCTTTCACAAATATGATCAGCTCCTCTTCGGCAAGTCAGATGTGACTGTCCACAGCAACCACAAACCTCTAGAGATTATCTTTTTAAAAACGTCTACTACCCTCAGCCGTGCATAGTCTACTGAGCATGATGCTCACTCTTCAGCGTTACACTTTCATGTTGAGTACCAAAACGGTTCCTCGCTCGACTTTGCAGACTCTTTCTCCCTCTCCTTCACCCGCTACGTCACATAAGCAGGTCCATGGTGAGTTACTCTGCTGAGTCGAGTTTGGTTCCAACAGTCCTTGCTCTCTGTCTTCCACGATGCTGCCCCTCAAGGCATCAGAACTGCCGCTTGGACAGGCCCAGAACAAATCATTCTCGCCTCACTATATGGTACAAGACTGCTGTCTCAGAGCTGGCTCGTCCATATTGGTCTGGTCGTCGCGAAATCACTGTTCACGATGGCTTGCTTTTCAAGCATGATTGTATTATCATCCCCTCTTCTCTTCGCGAACTCCTCTTACGCAAACTCCCCGCAGCCCATCCTGGCTCTGAATTTGTGCTTCTTAACACTCGCAGCTGTGTGTTCCGGTCTGGCCTTAATAGCCAAATCAAGACTTGAGTCAATCCTGCGTCAATTTGTGCGCGACATGCACATCAACACCCTCAAGAGCCACTCCAATCCCATTAAGTACCTTCTTTACGATGACAGCTTTTTGTCTCACAAGAAGTTGCATGAACTTAGTCGACAAACTCCCAAATATCCAATGTTCAGCTGTCGTGCAGGTCAATATCATTCACCCGTTCTTGGTTTTACGCGTGACGAAAGAGTGCACTGATTTTCAGTCATATCAATCTTCAACGTTTTGAAAAACTTTAGAACGTTTCTCTATAATTTCCCTAAATTATGTTTACCTATTTCAGGTTCCAATTTGGGGGAATGTTTGGAAAATTCCAGACTATGCCATTGTCGAGGTAAGAAATAAGGAACAGTTATCGCTGGTTACTTAGAAAGGTCTTTCGAAGGTTTTTTAAGAATAGATTTTTCCCCAAGCCACCTTTGTAAGTTTATTTTAAGCTTACAAAGGTGGCTTGAGGGAGAAAGCAGCCACTCAATTTGGCCAATCGTTATTTTAAACCCCACAATCATCAAGTATGAAACAAAAGTTTATAAATTTTTTTTTCTCAACAGCCCGTGGCCGTGTCCGTGGCCGTGCCCGTGGCCGTGGCCGTGGCCGTGGCCGTGGCCGTGGCCGTGGCCGTGGCCGTGGTCGCTATTAAACACCTAATATCAAGTTATCTTTTCTTCTTTATGACCATTTTGAGCGATACATAATTTTCACTTCAAGCACAAATAATGTGAAACTGCGTGTTTAGCAGTCTTAATTGTTTTCTTAAGTGTACTCCTAAGCCCTCTTTACGGATAGAAAAACCAAACAGTTGCAAAGTACACACCAAGCTTATAGGTTTAATACATAGATTTAGCCAAGCCTAAAAGCGGAGCTCCCAAGTTCGTAACAATAATTATAACATAAAAGATGTGCATTTGCCAAGACTCGCCTGAGACACCCCTTCCTCCGTTTTGATAGTCTCCCCTACCCTTCCCGTGAAATCTGAGGGCAAGTGCCCTCGGTCAGTCAGGTGACAACCAAACGAAAAGAGGTTGACTATATTCCACGGGTATGGGGCTCTGCCCCACGCGCGCGTGTGTAAGGAGTGCTATGGAACTTTTAAGCTGCAACTGGTTCGCTTCAATCACGCCGGGCTAAGCTAATATACGACTAGCAATTTATTGTGGTGCCAACGCAAAAATGGTTTCTCTTTCACTGGCTATAATATCCATGTAAAACATAATGTCTTCGGAAAGTGGTTCCATTGACCCTTGACCACCAAGAGGGATTATAACATAACCAAAGTAAAGCGCGCGCTCTGATTGGTCAATTTAGCGTCCCCCATTTGCCCATGGGTGTACGCTGCTGACATGAGCAAATGCAAAGACTATTTTTCCGCGCCCGCTTGTTTTTTCTGGTCTCGTAAGATTTGTTAAATAAAAGGGGACTCTTTAGCTACAATGTATCAATGATATGATATAAAACAAATGGTAAACACCACAGCGTACACTATTGAGATATGGATGCAATTGGGAGGTTTGCTAGGCACTCAAGAAGCTAGAGTCGCTCTCGAATATCGCCTCGCGCGACTCTTACGCTCCTTTCGTGCTCAGCAACCTCCCGCGTGCATCCATAACTCAATAGTGTACGCTGTGGTGTTTACCATTTGTTAACTGGCATCTAATTCCTTCCCACAGTATCACGCCTGAATCACACATGAAGGTCATGGGAATACAGAAAATTATCGCCAACTAAAAAAAGCTCTTTATTGTTGAACAAGTTCTCCTTGTCAAAACATTAGGAAATGTAGAAAGAACAGTGGGGAGAATATGCATAGTGATCCTGGGGAATAAAGGGTTAAGGCAATTCTTGGCTACATTAATTTTTCTGCGTTGCCCACTACATCTGACGCGAGCGCAAGCTTTGCTCTCCTTAGTTGCTAGAACTAGCATAGACCCTTTGATATGTGAACAGTGTCCAGTGAGTTACATAAGCAAACGCCTTTTGACAATGCATATATTGAAAGCTTCGAAAAAAAACAAAATTCTTCAAAATATGTTTGGGTCAAGTGCGATTCAGTTGAAGCATTTATGAAAAGATGAGGGCAACGAATACTTTGCCAAATTCAATATGTGTTACAATGATTAGCCATTTTCTAAACGAGTGGCGGTCTGGGTACGATTTGCCACCACAAAGGCTCTTGGGATCGTTCAGAGGGACAACGTGAAGGTAAAGAAACATGGCGCACTATAACTGCTGTATTCCAGGCTGCTCTAATAGTTACAGAAATTCACCTAACCTGCAGTATTAGAATTCCTAGACCCTGATATACGTAGAAAGTACGTGGTTCTTATGAGGAACGAGACGCTGAAATTAGATTCTACGAGTACGCAGTACGCGGATTTGCTCAGCTCATTTCAATGGAGGAGAAAAACTTAGCAGAAGACACTTTCCTTCAATTTTTCCATGAACAAAACCGACAGCTCCACCTAGAGAAGAACTTAAGAGGACCAGTTTCAAAGATGCGCAGAAAATGGAGCAAACCAAAAAAAAGAAAAACAACACTTGCTCAAATTACCGCTGTTTTAATTTGCCGTTCACCTCTTTTATGTTGTTGTTTTCTTTCTCCAACTGCTGGATCTCTCCAATTAGCTTAACAATTTCTTATTCACTTGTTTGTATTCTGTTATATAAACTGTTTAGTTGGTCACCAGTAAGTAATGTTTGTATTTCTACACTGGTACTGTACTGTTGTGTCAGCATTAACATTAATATTTTCCGACTGTTCTTCATATTTAAGTTCGCTTCCAGTGGTAACTGAGCAAGGGTTGTTTTTCTTTTTTTGGTTTGCTCCTTTTTCTGCGTACCTTCGAAACTGGCCCTCTTGAGTTCTCTACGTGGAGCTGTCGGTTTTTTCCATGGCAAAAAAAAGGCAAATGAGTTCTGCTAAGTTTTTCTCCTCCATCGAAATGAGATGAGCAAATCCGCGTACTGGTAGAGTCTAATTTCAGCGTCTCGTTCCCCATAAGAACCACCTGCTTTCTACTTATATCAGGGTCTTTAGGAATTCTATAATACTGAAGGTTACGTGCATATCTGTAACAATTAGTGCAGCCTGGAATACAGCAGTTATAGTGCGTCATGTTTTTTTACCTTCACGTTGTCCCTCCAAACGATCCCAAGAGCCTTTGTGGTGGCAAATCGTACCCAGACCGCCGCTCGTTTAGAAAATGGCTAATTTCTGCAACGTAACTTTAGGGGCGAAGAAGGGTTAAAGCCGACGTTTGCCTTTTGCAAGAGATGATAGCTCATTAAGCATAACACATGAGACATACAAAATGAAAGATTGGCTAAATATCTGATGTTTCTTCAGTGACAGCAAATTATTTGCATGAATTATGTCAACCCATCCTGACTCTTCAATAAGAGGAGACTGATGAAATAATTTTATTCGTCCATAGCCTGAAGATCGTTATTAATAAATGATGACTTCCCAAAGGAGTGGATTCTCCAAAATTGCTTTTAAGGAAGTAAAAACAACCCACCAGCAATAATTTTAGGACATAAAAGACGACCCGAACTCTTAGCTATGTATGTAATTGCTAGTGGTCTCTAAAATAAATGCTACAAACCTAATACATTAAAAATGGAACAACTAAATTTGGGAATAACATAGTAATAACATGGGAAAAACGAATAAACGATGAAAGTAGTCAATGGGGATACGGCAAACAGCATGAGCACTTAATATTACTTCTGATCGCTTGTGAACTCGAGCTAACAGTTTGTTATTTATTTGCCGAGCTCGCTCGAAGGTCAATTGCGAACTATAAAAGGATAGCCGCGAGGACTGGGACTAGGGGGGGAATTGGTTATGATCGCTATGTTAATTCTAATTGACTAGAAATTTTAAGAGCAAGACAGATTCACATTTTATCATGATAAAGGCACTCATCATGCAGACCTAGTCCTGAGTTTTGGGAAAGTAAAACGAATGACCTCCTTTATTCCCTTTTGAATCCTAATTGCTAGCGTCTCCCTAGCACGAAGTTTCCAATATTTCCCCACAAAATCAAATCACGAACTTTGAAAAACGCATTAAATAGATCGATGCTGGAGTTCGGAGCAATTTAAATTATTCCTCTAGAACCATCTTCAGTCTCTCCCAACATCGAAATTCACAAAGCTAGTTTGCAAATTTAGAAAAAATACATGGAAAAAAATCCGATTTAAACTTATGATGTCATTAGTGTTAGTGTAAGATGCCATCGGGGTAATTGGAAGCGAACGACACACTACACCATATTGAAACGTTGGTAGAAAAATTATTTCCCACACCAGCAGATGAGTTAAACCGTGCACAATTTCAGAAACGCTACTTGTCTCAAAAAAAAAAAATTGACTTATAGTTAAAGAATTGCATGTTTGGCGCAGGTGTTTGAGCACAAGTATTGTTGAAGTAATCCGACGACGACGATCGGGGAAAAAGACATGCTTTATCACAAAGAATGTGATAAAGCATGTTGTCGCGTGATTCTGTAGAGCGTAAACAAGACAATGTGCAGCAACTTTGTATTTCACACCTCGCTAGTTTTAATCAGGGTAAGTAAGTGCTTGTTCACCAAGCGTCTCGCGATTTACAAGCCTTTCTCCCAGTCTTCAAAATCCCTCGAGATACGTCCAGAAAAATAATCATACTTTATATTGCTAAAACAACTGAAGTTATTTAACACTCACGTCACAATCTCATGTTTGATTGGGTTCAGGTACGCAGCTAATTTCTCTTCAGTTTGTGTCGCCACAAACCTCGCCTTGATAATTCTTGCTACAATACTCCTTTTGCCAAAATCCGCTTGTTCACGAACACAAGTTGTTACTGAGTTAGGACTGATGCTTCAGAGGAGGGGAAATTTTGAAAATTACTTCTCAACGGAATCGATTCTCCAAAATAGACGTTGCGCAAGTTTAATGAAACCGACTGCAGTGTAGCAATTTTGAGTGCAAGACATATCACTCATCATGCAGATTTCTTGCCAGTTGATTTATTGGTATAGTCTCGAGCGAATGAAACGAATATTTTTCTTTTCGTTTAAAGTCCTCATTGCCAGAGGTTTGCTTGCTCGAAGTTTCTTTTGTTTCCATAAAGCTCGACAAAGCGCTCACAATAGAGCGATGTAGGAGTTCATAACGCTTGGAATTGTTCCTCTACAACCATCCGCAGACTCTCTTCCAACATCAAAATTCACAAGACTGGCCAACAAATTTTAGAAAAAAAAGGTTAAAAAATCTCTGATATAGAAATATGACCAATCGTTGGTGTACTTCTTTCTTTTCATAGGTAAATTATATACGTCACTGTAGTTGAAGTAAGGAGAATTATACTACTCCTTAGCCTTCGTAAAGACATTTTAAAAATTCATTCGGGGCAAGGCTAACGACGCAATACATAAATTAAACATTGTTAGCTTTCAGGCATTTCCCATACCAGCTTAAATCTTACGCTCTCCCAGAAGCGTTACTTGAAAAAACAGCTCTATCGTCACAAAAATATACAGATATAGTTGATGGGTTATTGTATTTGCTGAAATTTTAGTACTGTCCACACTCGCACGCATGCTGTGTGACCAAGCAGAACAAAGATATAATGTAACGAGATTCATAAAGTGTATTAAGTAACAGGCTGGCGGCACACGTATCTCAATCAAGATCTCACACAAGACTCTAAAAATTGTTTTATTTTTATCCAAACTGGAAGAAATAAGGTAGCTGTGCGTGAGTGTTGGATGCATGTCTTTGAGCATTACTGAATTAATCACGGGAACAGGGCACGAAAACAGAAGGCTAGTCTAGACAAAGAATCTAGTAAATTATGTGATCGAATTATTCTGTTGTGCATAAACAACAAATGAACAAAACAGTCAAGTTCTAGAACTTGTGCTCGTTGAACTGTAATACCCAGCAGTCTTCAATGCAAGTTGATCCAGCATCATGCTTAAAAAGAAAAATATTTAGCAACTTCATCTTAACGCCTCACTAGTTTTGAACATGTTAAGATCAAACGTGTTCCTGAGTGATTAAGGAGACACTATATTTCTGAAACTTCTCTAATTTATTCTAACCTTTATTTTCCGTTGTCCAGACTACATTTGTGTAATTAAGTTGCTTATTATTTACAAGTGAAATGGAATCTTGAACGATTATGTACTTGTAAGTCCTCCTATTCTTTTATGGCAAGATTTTGTATTAAAATAGATAAAGGATGTGAAACTACAAGTTCTTGCAATACGTGTTGATTGCTTTCTATCCTACCTTCCAGAAGATGGCCGGAAACCGCTATACCTCTATAGCACAAATTGATCAGATCTTGGCTTATATTCACGTAATTAATATTGAATATTAAATTAATAATAATAATACTGATTAATATTGAATAATATTTAATATAGCAGATGTAATAATGAATTTCTTAATGTGAGATACATCTGATTTTTTTCTTGGTCGTTCAGAGATATCAGAATACTCTTTCATTTCAAGGCTGGTGTAGGCTAGTGTCATTTTGCTGCAAATTTATTATTGCTGCAAAGCTACCCCTGTTTAAAAAGGTGATTTCACTTAACACATGGGTTACTTATGCGTGAGTTATTCGTAAGACTCAAGGTTTTGAAGGAAGCGGGCTTGCTGTGGAGGCATTCATCTTTCACCAAGCCGAGTGTTTACCCTTTCTCAAATATCCCCGAATATTCTCTAAGTAGTTCTTTTCTGTAAGAGCTACAAGCCATGAAATTTCTTTGATATCTTATCAAGGTCCGGTGCGTCAGATCAGTAATTGCATTATGGCTTAAAGGTACGATTTCACCAGACGTGTTTGTGATGAAACAGTTTGTGGAAAGATTGGGGAACTAAATAATGTGCCAACTCACTCAAACGCGAAATTTGCATCGATTTCCGCTATCTAATTCTAATGGGGCACTGTGTTTTTGGATGGCGGACTCTAGTCCCTTAAGCAAGAGACGATAGCTCATTAACCATGATTCGCAAGACATATAGCTGATCAGATTGATTAATTGTTCATTACGTCTCCGGCGACAGCAAGTTATTTGCATGAATGATGTAAACCCATTGTGACTGTCCTACAAGAGGAACTCCCCTAAGATAATTTGCATTCGTCCATAACCGGTTGTCTTGGTGGTCACAAAGGAACGTTGGAACTTGAAAGGTAAAATCTACTCAATCTGTATCTTCATATGAATAGTAAATTTCTTATTCTTTTACATAAATTGATACTGACTAAGAACTGGCGCTACAAAGGAAAGGAAATTTTAACAATGACTTTCCAACGGACTGGATTCTCCAAATAGCTTTTACGCAAGCTTGATGAGACCAACTAGAAAGTTTTAGAGCAAAAGAGAACCACGCTCTTTCATGGGTGCCCTCATATAGCAGACATTGTTAAGTTAATGTACAGTTATTGATATAGTTTTGAGCGAAAAAACAATCATTTCCACGTAAAATCCTATACTTTAGAGTCTTGCTAATCCATAGTTTCTGCTGTTGCAAGGTTCTGTTGTTCTATCCGTTGCTCTATCAAGCTTTAGCTGTATTTTAGAGCCTCTCCATTTTCAGGCGGAGGGTAAGAGTGAGTATTGTATAATTAGACATATGGGTTTTGATCACACCCTATCAATGCACTCAATTTTTAACTCGGGCACCTTGAAAGGAGTCTTAAGTAAAAACTACAAAGGTGTACAGCTTACGCTTCATTACTCCAATACTAGTGGCAAAAAATGACTGCAGGTATATGAATGACTCTATGAAAGCGATACCATTATATGCAGGTGTTTATTTCAAATGCTTCTCTATTGCCTTTCCTATGAGTGTGAAGTTGAGATATGAATTACTAAGACCGCGCCTTCGATTTTGCCATTGCGAGTACCTGAATATATTTAGACAGGTGGCTAGTAATTAAAGTGTCTCACAAATGCTAAAAGCCATCTTTGCATATTCTTGTTTATCCATGGGTTTTCCAGAACATCTTCCAAAATGTTAAAGACAATTAAGGATCCGTGATCTAGAAAACCACAGAATATCCCAAGAATTTTACAAAGGGATGCATCACTGCCTTGACAAAAAAGAGCAATGCACGAGTGCGTAACAATAGAAATTGCTACGCTAGAACCATCCGCGGTCTATCTCAACATCAGATTGTCCAAGGCTGGGTAGCAAATTTAGGCAAAGCACGTCTATAAAGCTCCGGTATAAAAGCATGATCAGTCACTATTAAAGTTTTTCTTTTTATTTAATGAATCATGAAAATTTTTGTAACAGAAGTGAGGAGCGTTATGCCACTCTCCTTTGTGTTTGTAGAGAGATTGATTCCTTCAAGGCAGTTGGAAAATAATCCCACAACGGATTGCGAAAGTTAAGAAGTTGTATGCCCAACTATATTACAACTAGCAGATAACTTTTTGTCTGAGCTCTTCCAGTAGCGTTAGCTAAAAAAAAGGCCTTATCGTCATAAAAAGTTGTCATTTACGGAAATTTCAACACAGACGAAACTCGCACGCATGGCGCGTAACCAAGCATAACAAAATAACACTTTGAATTACCAGTATGCTTTATATGCAATGGATATTACGTGGGGATATTTGTACGGTGTATTAACAAACCGATAGCGTACCTTTGTTAATCAAAGCCTTATGTAAGACACTGAAAACTATTTTTGGATTTCAACGGTGAAGAACTGAAGCAGTCCCGCCGATTCGTGTTCGGTGCATGTGTTTTTGAAGTTATCACCGTGACGAAAACAGGGCACGAGAACAGTCGGCTAGGTTAGACAAATAGTTAAGTAAATCATGTTATCAAAAGATTTTGTGGCGCGTAAACAAAACACTTAAGTTCTACAACTCTAAAAGCCAGCATAATAATATAAAAGCTATTGTAATACAGCTTCATGCTTTTAAAGAGTAATTTGATGTTGTCTACGCATTTATTGATCATTCATGAAACAAAAGTTCAAAACCAGCAACTTTATCTTCACGTCTCGCTAGTTTTAATCAAGATAATGGGAGCCTCTCGACTAACCCTAGCGTCGAGTATAGAAGATTTCTTAATTGATAAGGCAGGCACTATGCTTTTGAAGCATCTTTCAGTCTCTTTTAACCTTCCTTTTCCGTAGTCCCCACTGCATTTGTCTACCTTGCTTATGATTTGCAAGCGGGATGGCATACTGGACCATAGTAACTGTGGTAAGTCCTTTCCTTCTTATATGGAAAACTTCGAAAAATTTTCGAGGCAGCCACGTCGCATGAGGCCTTAAGGCTGGCTGGTTGCTTTTTTGGCTAAATGGGTAATAACTGTAGTTCATCTTCCATTTCAGTTGGCGTGCATTGCCGTAATTGATCTATCAAACGCAAGACCGAGGTCTGAATCCAAAAGGATAAGAGACCAAGGCCAGCACGATCAAAAACTTCGTGCGTCCGAAAGGATGAGAGACCAAGACCGATTTGATCAAAGACTCCGTGAATTTGAAATGAGGAGAGACCAGAGCCCATCCCATCAAAAAATCCATGAGTTACCTTCGATAAGAGACCAAGGTCGATCTTATCCAAAACCCCATGAATTTGAAATGATAAGAGACCAAGACCGTCCTGATCAAAACCTCCATGAGTCTGAAATGATGAGTGACGAAGGTCAACCTGATCGAAAAATCCATGAGTTTGAAATGATGAGAGACCAAGGCCGACCTGATTCAAAACTCCATGAGTTTGAAATGATGAGAGACCAAGGCCGACCTGATCCAAAACTCCATGAGTTTGAAATGATGAGTGACGAAGGCCGACCTGATCCAAAACTCCAGGAATTAGCCTCCATGAGAGACCAAGGTCGACCTGATCAAAAGCATGAGTTCGAATCGGTGAGCGATCCAGGCCAAGCTTATCAAGAACTCTATCAACTGGATCACGAATGGGACTGGTTAAACAGGGAGAAAAATGGTAAAGTTTTAATGAAGCGTGCTGAATAGTCCTGTAATCTAACCACCCAATTGAAGAGTGTTCTAAATCTGATGACATTTGACGACGAGTTCTCTTCATTTCCAGATTATATTCAGGAAGCACCTTTGGCTTCAAAGGATAATCCCGTTGCTTCTTTGCCAAAGGATGCTACTGAAGAAGAACAAGGAGAAGACGAAAACACTGCACCAACACTAGAGGATTGGGAAGGAGAAGAAGAAGAAGAAGAAGAAGAGAAAGCCGATGAAGAAGAAGGAGAAGAAGAACATAAAATTAGCAAAAGTGAGTAAGATTTAAGCATGACATTTATTCTTATTTTGATATTTACGACAACATTTTTATTTCACGTTCTTTTTCCATACAACATGTATACGCCTTGTATTAGAATATGCGTGCCCAGTTTTTCATCCTTCTTTGCCGCAATATCTGTGTAATGAAATGGAAAGGTTGCAAAACGCGCGTTGCAACTGATTCAACCTGATCCTGCGCTGATGCTCTAGTAGTTCTTGACATTGCGTCACTCTACGAGAGGAGGGAGATCTTGTGTGATGCTCTATTTCATCAGATTGTAAGGGACGGAAGCCACAAGCTCCATGATCTGTTGCCTCCACGCAAAGAGTCCACCTATTGCACCCGCAGCCAGAGATACTTAGAGCTACCGATTTGTAAGACAAATAGGTTCAAAAACACATTTATCATGGCGAACACTTTAAAGTATTAGTAGCTATCTTAATTATTTGTATTTTGGTTTTTGATACTTCTCTTATTGTATTTTATTGTAGATTACATTTTGCGGCTTTTATTGTAGTTATCTTAGAGTAAGAGTTATTCCCATTGTAAAGTAAGTCGTATTTCAGCCGGCCCGGGGGCTGCAATGAATTTACTTCCTAATAAAGCTATCTATCTATCTATCTATCTCCTTTCCTCGAAGAGGTTAAAATAAAATAGTGAACTTCTTTGATGGCAGCCCAAAGCCATGCAATTAATCCATAAGCACTTACTAAGTTAATACACACGACCTGCCATCAAGAAAAAGTAAGACTGATATTCAATCTATGTATTCATACTAAACCTAATTTGAGCAGACAATCACAGACCTCAAGGTGGCTGTAAAATATAGCTTCCTCTTTTAAATCATGCTTTTCCTATTTCAACAGGAGTGTTAGGAAAAGTGCTTAAAAAAATATTGAAGAAAGGTAAGATCTAAGATCTAAGGTAAAGTAATCAGGGTGTGTTTAATAATTTCCTTGAAGCTGTTTGCTTAAACTGAAAAAGGGCAAGGTAGGTGTTCTCTACTGAAGACGAGATAGTGGTACCCTTAAAAGGTTATATTTTGACAAACCATAATTACTCGTATAAAATTATTTGATAACTACAATTTAAGTTAGTCCATACAAACTCTGTCTCGAAACACACTCTCGTCTTTTAAAGATAAAGGAAGTGTCACCTATGATTCACTCTCCTTGTCTGGACAAAGACAAACTTGAAGATGGCTATTAGGATACATTTGCATTTTTCTTAATCATGATTCCTTAATTCAACAGCAGCCAGAAGAAGGAATGGAAAAAGTGTGATAATCAAGTTCAAAGAAAGTGAGAACAAAGGCACATTAATTGCTGTTTAATTGAAATTGTACTTGGAGTTATTTACTATGGATTACAAATGGGAGAGGCAGTTGCTATTTGCCTCAACTGAAAAAGGCTTTCAAAAGGTACGTCTCCAATAAGACTTAGTAAGTAAGGTCCATACTGAAGCTGCTGGAGGTCCATACGTGTTCACCATGAGTCAGCACGAGGTTTTTGCTGGTCGATAAGTAAAAACTCAAGCAAACTGAAAGCTTTTATATCTATATGTTGTACCCTTGAACGTTTCTTGGCTCGAAAATTTATGGATTTCAATTTATACGTTCAGGTCTAACAATATTAACTGCTTATGGCCGAATTTTCATCTAGCTTCAAAGCACACTTCATGTAATTCAAGTTGTGTCCTTTTGGCGGTCGGACGGAATATTGACTTCCGGTCGTAGTAACTTTAATTATATGAGATTTAATGCGAATGAAATAAGCTTTTACAGCATCATCGATAATTGGAGAATTTCAAGAAAAAATTACTAAATTCGTGCTTGTTGAGATTCGTTAAGTTATATTCAAAGTGCGCTCACTGAATAATTGTTCATCAGTATGCACTCAAACAGTGGATATCTTTGAGGGCGCGTTCTGTTTGGCTACTGAAACTCCGCATATTTTTTACAATTCACCAGCGAGCAAATCACGGGGGGATTTTGTGACCGAAAGCACGATGATCTTTGCCGAAACACTCCCCGGCTCGGTAAATATCCACCACTAGTAGAATCCACGATCGTGATCAATAAATCATTAGCATTTTATAAGTTGGCCCATAAAAATATCTGTTCAGGAACGTTGAATCCTCAAGGGAAACTCTCTAGCGAACTATTTTTATTATAAGATAAAACAGGTGTCCACAGGATTAGCTATCTTTATCAGGACAAAGGCAAACTTAAAGATGGCTATAAGATTTGTGTATATTTCCTAAATCATTGTTCCTTTATTCAACAGAAGGCATATTGTTTACTGTCAAGGGAATACTAATAATAGAATTCAACGAAGGTAAGTACTATGGTAGGATAACATGCTATTTACATAAAATTGAAAAAAAAGATATCTGAAGGCTATCAATTGGAAAAAATGTCGAAGAGAGCGAAAAGGCAAGGTTTCCTAAGAACTACCCAATTCTTTCTCCTCCATTTATATCTTATCCTGCTAGTCCTCTTAAAATAACAATAATAATAATAATAATAGTGGTAAGGGGTTCAAGTGAAAGAGAAAAATAATTTAAACTGGGCTATTAGATCACATAGAACACTTCATTAGAAAGTCTGAAACAATTATTAGGGAAAAATGAAGAGGAAGAAGAAGAAAATGAAGCATCAGGTGAAGAAGAAGAAACATCAGCTGAGGAAGAAGCATCAGCTGAAGAAGAAACATCAGCTGAAGAAGAAGAAGCATCAGCTGAAGAGGAAGAAGTATCAGGCGAAGAAGAAGAAGAAGTATCTGGCGAAGAAGCATCAGCTGAAGAAGAAGAAGCATCAGCTGAGGAAGAAGAAGTATCAGCTGAAGAAGAAGAGGCATCAGGTGAAGAAGAAGAAGAAGTATCTGGCGAAGAAGCATCAGCTGAAGAAGAAGAAGCATCAGCTGAGGAAGAAGAAGTCTCAGCTGAAGAAGAAGAGGCATCAGGTGAAGAAGAAGAAGAAGTATCTGGCGAAGAAGAAGCATCAGCTGAAGAAGAAGAAGCATCAGCTGAGGAGGAAGAAGCATCAGCTGAGGAAGAAGAAGCATCTGCTGAAGAAGAAGAAGCATCAGGTGAAGAAGAAGCATCAGCTGAAGAAGAAGCATCAGCTGCAGAAGAAGCATCAGCTGAGGAAGAAGAAGCATCAGCTGAGGAGGAAGAAACATCAGCTGAGGAAGAAGAAGCATCTGCTGAGGAAGAAGAAGCATCAGGTGAAGAAGAAGAAGCATCAGCTGAGGAAGAAGCATCAGCTGAAGAAGAAACATCAGCTGAAGAAGAAGAAACGTCAGCTGAAGAAGAAGAAGCATCAGGTGAAGAAGAAGAAGAAGTATCTGGCGAAGAAGAAGCATCAGCTAAAGAAGAAGCATCAGCTGAGGAGGAAGAAGCATCAGCTGAGGAAGAAGAAGTATCAGGTGAAGAAGAAGAAGAAGAAGTATCTGGCGAAGAAGAAGCATCAGCTGAAGAAGAAGAAGAAGCATCAGGTGAAGAAGAAGCATCAGCTGAGGAAGAAGCATCAGCTGAAGAAGAAGAAGCATCAGCTGAGGAAGAAGAAGCATCAGCTGAGGAAGAAGAAGCTTCAGCTGAAGAAGAAGAAGCATCAGCTAATGAAGAAGAAGAGGAAGTATCAGCTGAAGGAGTAGAAGAAGAAGAAGAAGAAGAAGAAGAAGAAGAAGAAAAAGGAACATCAGGCGAGGAAGAAGAAGCACCAGCTGAAGAAGAAGAAGCATCAGCAGAGGAAGAGGAAGAAGAAGAAGAGGAAGAAGAAAAAGAACAAGAAGCATCAGGAGGAGAAGAAGAAGAAGAAGAAGAAGAAGAAGAAGAAGAGGAGGAGGAGGAGGAGATAGAAAAATGTAGAAGTGAGTGCTTTTCAATTCTTCTTTAGATTTTTGTCTCAATTTCAATTATTTCAATTTTATTTTTAGTGAAAACACTATTTCTTTGAAAAGCATCACTTTCCTATTTTCACATCGATTGTATTATCTTTTGTAAGTGTAACTAATGGCGGATCTTTATATTCTATACGTTGAGAACGCAGTCTTCCTCCAAACTAACAGCATTTTAACATTAATCTGAGAAACCTATCCTGCCAAAAACATCCCATAAACGTAGAGACGATGAAAATTCAAGAGAAAAGGCAAGATTCGAAAACCTCCCACGCAAAGGTGGGAGCGAAAGGTTATGGTATTTGTTGATGTGACATTTTGTGCGACAGTTAAGCTTGAGCTTTTAAATTTCTAGTTTTGGGAAATTTGAATAGCGAAAACTACGACCTTACCTCAGGGAAAAATATTAACCAAAGGCTGGGACCATTTAGGCTACACGAACAAAAACGTGGTCCATAAAAAACTTAAGCAAGCCAATATTTCACTACATGGGTGACAAAAAAAAAACCGGTTTACTGCCTAATTTACCGCGTGCAAGTCAATAGCGATCCACGTACTCCACAATACCCACTTTGTCAATATAAATACGGACTGCTGTCAACAGGAAATGAAAACTGGCATGATTCAAACTTAAACTGGTCTTTGTAAGCTAAACTATGAATCCTTCATACTCAGGCTGCTTTGAACGGACACAGGCCATTTTGAATATGGCCATGAGATATATCTATACGTTCTAAATAATTATTTCTCTTTTCAAAAGAAGGAAGACAAAAAGGAAAGGACGGAAAGTGCAGACGTAAGTACTATTTACTTAACACTGAAAAGAGCTCTGAAAGACTATAAATAAACTTGGCAAGGTCCGAACAAAAGCTACTGAGAGTCCTGGTCTGTTACTTCCGACGACTTGAAAAATCGAAATGGAAAAAAAAATTTATCAATTTGCTATGGCAGTCCACAGTCATTCAATTAATCATTTAGTGAGCACAAACTAAGGTCCATGCAAAATCTTGTAAAGTGCAGTGTCTCGTATGATTAAATTTAAACAAATACAAATTTAAAGATTGATATAAGCTTTGTTTTCATTTCCAACATCGTGATTCCCTTATTTAACGACAGGCATAAGACTAACACTGAGATGCAGAGGAATTATCGTAGGAGGTAAGAGCTCAAATACAGTAATTGCTGTAATTTTACTTAAAGCTCAAAATGGCTCCTAGTGAGTCTCTAATCAGTATGCCTGTACCGTGACTAACCCTCTTTGTTAAGACAAAGGCGCACTTCAAGATGGCTTTATGATAAATTTATATTTTCTGAATCGTGATTCCCTAATTAAACAGTGGGCAGAAGATGGATCTGCCAAGGACGAGGATTCAGATACCTAATACCAGGCATAAAACCCTTCTGCAAAGGAAGAATTGTACCAGGTACGAATTAAAATACAATAATTGCTGTTACATATGTAAGCAAGTAAGTAAATTCTCTATTAAAAGTGAGCGGCACCGAGCCAAAAGGCTAATAAACTCGTGGCCCTCGTCGAAATTTTATTTGAAGTTATTTGCTTCGCTTGAAATCTAAAAGGGCAAAGGCAAATAATCACTTATTTACTTAAAGCTCAAAATGGCTCCTAATGAGTATCACTTTGTTGCAATGAGAATTGTGCCACATTTTGGTGCTAAAATGGGGAATTTGGTGGGTTAAAATATGTCAACGCGAGGTAATAAACTAAGGATAAGTGAGAATCCATCAATCGTTAGAGCTAATAAGACAATAAAGCTTTAAAAAGCTCGAACTTTCTTTCCATGCCTTCTACTATTTTTGAGAACACAAATGGCAAGATTTAGTATTTTCTGGTCAGCTTTGCTCAATGGTGCATTTGCCTCGAGGGGAAATAAAAGCCTTTCGGCTTGTAAACACTGGTGTGAATGATTGGACTCTTTTTTTTTGGTATCTTTTTTCATTTTCGTTTTGGCCAATGCCCTCCAAGTAAGAGCTAATAGTACCTTGTATTATTTGGCATAAATATGCGCACATAAACGGATCTGCGGACACCACATGAACTTTCTTTATTTCTAAACAAAGTCACCTACAATACTCAAATTGGTTAGGACATACAAAAGTTGGTTCTACAGTAAAATTAATGGAAAGCTCATGTTGGAGATACAATAGAATACCAGAAGCGAAAGTACAAAACCTTAAGGTGAATCTACAAATCTTATCGGAGATTTTCGTAGTGCAAGTAAATGCTAAAGCTTGAACTTCAACACATACTAAACCAAACTGGCTAGACATGCAAGGTACAAAATGTGCATCATGAAACGTATTTAATTAAGTGTCTTCGAGTCCCTTTGGCCTAACGCTAAATAATTAGTACACAACACGATAACAGAAGATAAAAAATTAATTTCTGAGTAAAAAAAAAGTTCTAAAGCACATACTGCAGTGACGGCTTAAATTGGATTCGTTAGTTGATTCATATCATCGAGTCTTGAGGTCTACCCTTGATGTTTATGCCCCCGAAAGGACCCGCTAGGTTGTTCAACGTCCTTGTGCACCTTGGTATTCAACTGAAGTTGATATTCAAAAGAACATAAGGAGGAAGTTCGAACGTAATTGGCTACGTACAAGATTACCTGCAGATAGAGAGCGGTATGTGTTTCAGAACAGTGTTGTTAATGACATGATTTCCTCCGCGAAGCACACATTTTATTCATCATTTTATTCATCAGGAAAACTCAGGGAACTCTGTACTTCTTTTTAAGACAATAGAGAAGCTTCTGCACTCCAATCCGTTCAAGCGTTATCCATCATGAACCCAATAACTGTTCTTTGTACGAATCATTCGTTGAATGTTTTAGTAACAAAATTGTTAAAATTCTCAAATATCTTGACAAAGTTGATGGATCTCTAAATGACGGTCAAGCTACCTCATGCAATGCTGAGTCTGAATGCTGTCTAGCTAACTAGCTGCTAAGTGAATTTAAACTGGTCAACGACGAGGTCGTATCTAGTTTTGTGAATCAACTATGCTCAAAGTCGTTACACTTGATCCAATTCCATCTTCAGTATTCAAAAGGTTCCGTCATTATATGCTTCCCGTGATCACTCGTGTAGTTAATTTTTCTCTTACAAGTCCAAGTACCTCATAGATTCAAGGTCGCCATGTTGAAACAATTGTTAAAAAAGAGTGGAGCTGATCACGAGCTGTCTCCAATTTATATTTTGAGTCCAAAGTTACGGAGAAAGCAGTCGCAGCACGATCAATGGACCATCTTAATGATAATGAAGGCTTATTAGAAGAATTTCAGTCGGCATATAAATCTCATCACAGTCACAAAGACTGCGCTTGTGAAAGCTCAAAATGGTATTTTGAAGGCAATAATAGATCGGTTATTTTACTATTGCTTGATTTATCGGCAGCGTTTGATACTGTCGATCATTCGATTTTGCTATCGAGAGTCGTTTCTGTATTAGGAATAATGCTCTTAAGTGGTTTCATTCGTACCTTCGCTCACGCGAACAGTTTGTTTCTGTTAATGGTGCTGAATCTTCGAAGAAGCATTTACCCTACGGGGTACCACAGAGTTCTGTGATTAGACCCCTATTGTATTCTCTTTAGACAAGTCCACTGGGTGATATAGCCAGGAAGCATAGCATACCGTTTCATCTCTATGCAGATGACACACAGTTACAAATGTAGTTTCCATCCACTTGTCCGAATCATCTATTCAGCACAAAGATGGCAGTAGAACTATGTGTTAAGGACATTGGTGACTAGATGCTGCGCAACAAACTCAAGTTAAATCAGTAGAAGACTGAACTTTTGGTTATTAGCTCTAAATGTCGTCCACGACCAACCCTCGACTATATACGAGTCGGCGAAGAAGTAATCAAGTCTAGTAAACAGGCCAGAAACTTAGGAGTTGGATTCGATCAATGATTAGATTTCAAAGAACATTTTAAAATATCCTGCAAGAGCGCATTTTTCCGCATTCGCAGTAAAGCTAAAACCAGGCAATACCTATCCCAGAGTACTAATGAGGCTATTGTTCACGCTTACATAACATCGCGTTTGGACTATTGCAATGTCCTACTGTATGGTCTCCCAAGTATCTGATTAATAGACTTCAGCTTTTACAGAACTCGGCAGCTTGCCTTGTTACCTTGACTAGAGGTAGGAACATATCCCACCAATACTAAGGAGCTTAAAATATTGTTGCTAGGACTGGCCCCAGATTACATTAAAGACCTATTGAGGTATGATGATTCTCGTCGCACACTAATATCGATCTTCAAAAAACAGGTTGCCTGATGAGTCTAGAGCAAATCTTAAAACGTATGCTGAAAGGGCTACCACTCCAGATCAGGCTTTTATCATCAGAGGCAGTTTTTAAGGCTAATCTTAAGACTCATCTTTTTAAGCGTGCATTTGATTTTTAGTTTTTACTTGTTTTTACTTTTTATTCGTAGTCTTATTGTATTACATAGTGTATTTAAACTTTAGGAATTTAATCTTTACGGTTTTAGAGTTTTGTAAAGCGCCATGGAAAATTAATGGAAGATGGCGCTCTGTAAATGTATATTTAGTTATTTGTTTCATTTACATACGATTTGGGCCTTTCTCGCGTCATTTTAACCCTCCCCCATCGGCTCGGGCTAAAATGACTCCAAGTTGGCCCCAAAACTTATTTATATCCACGAACATAAACTATATGTATATTACATAAACCTTGTTGTTTCATTATAAAGGTCTAAAGTAAATCTATTAAAGGTTCTTGTTTGCTCACGTGACTTGAAATTTTAACGTTACTAAAAAAATTTCAATCAGCAAAACACTGAGTTAGTCCATTATGACTCCTGGTGAGGGAAATTGGACACTGATTCAGGGAAAAATCCGTAGTGAACTGTTATCTCGCTAAGTATACCTCTATCATGATTAACCTTCTTTTCTAAGACTAGGGCACTCTTGAAGATGGCTATAAGATAAATTTATATTTTCTAAATTCCTAATTTAACAGCGCGCAGAAGAGGAGGAGTGATCTGCAGAGGAATAGGATTCAAAAAGCCAATACCAGGTATGAAGTAAATATGTGTTATTGATCAAGTGTGAGGTCAAGACGGCTGGATATTTGTCGAGTCCTAATTATTCATGTAGCTCAAAGAAAGGCTCACGTAAATTCTGTAGAGTGAAAAGTGTCTAGTATAATTAAATTTCTACGTCAGGCCAACAAAGGCAAATTTGAGGATAAGTATAGTGTATATTTCATATTGAACAACATGATTCATTGATTTAGCGGCAATCCAAGGACCCAGATGCAGAGGAAGAATCGGACGAGGTAAGAGCTAAAATACAGTAATTGCTGTTTGATAAGTAAGCCGCAAGTACGTAAATCCTCTACTCAAAGTGAGCGGTACTGAGCCAAAAAGCTAATCAACGTATGGCCCTCGTTAAAATTCCACATGAAGTTATTTACTTTGTTTGAAATCTAAAAGAGCAAAGGGACAGGTTATCTACTTAAAACTGATAAAAATTACCATCACTTTGTTTCGATGGAAATTGTACCACATTTTTATGCTAAAATGAGGAATTTGGTGGGCACAAATAAAAATCAACTAAAAAAGGGAAATCAGCAGAACACTAAGTTAGTCCATTGTGACTCGTGGTGAGGGAAATCGGACACTGATTCAAGAGAAAAACCCGCAGTAAA